CATATGTGGTCATACAAACTTGGGAAAGCCTTGAAGTGGGCCTTTGCACCATGAATGAAGCAAGTTTTACTAAGCAAATTCAATTGACAGGGTACTGAAGAGACAAGGCTGTTTCCAAATATCAAATATGTACATGCCAATGATCCTTGTATTAATCACAAATCTACTTATCCTTTTGTTTACCTTTTGTTCCAAGATATTTTTGAAATTGTTTTCAATTCTTTCATGGAAGAGGTTCAGGATCCAGCTGGAAGAAAGAGGAAAGAGGATCAGGATCCACTTTATGATTAACTAGGACTCCCAAAGGGAGGGCTACCCACGGATCTGACCTTCCCCCATGTTATCCCATGAAGGGACCCAACCAGATGGGGAACTCTCGTATGCTGTTAGTGGGAATGTCAATTGGTGCAGCCAGTATGGAAAACAGTGTGGAGGGTCCTCAATAAATTAAAAATAAAACTACCATATGATCCAGCAATTCTACTTCTGGGTAGCTATTAGAAGAAAATGAAAATGCTAATTTGAAAAGATCTCTGCAACTCCATGTTCACTGCAACATTATTTATTATAGCCAAGATATGGAAACAACCTAAGTGTTCATCAATGGATGAAAGGATAAAGAAAATGTGGTACACACACACACACACACACACACATATATACACACAGAGGAATATTAGACAGCCATAAAAAAGGATATCTTACCATTTGCAACAACATGGATGGGCCTTGAGGCCATTATGCTAAATGAAATAAGTCAGACAGAGGAAGACAAATATCACATGATCTCACTTATATGTGGAGTCTAAAAAAACCCAACAACAATCAAGCTCATAGATACAGAGAACACATTGGTGGTTGCAGAGGCAGGGGGCCGGAGTGGGTAAAGGAGGTCAAAAGGTACAAACTTCTAGTTATACATAAATAAGTCCTGGGGATGGGATATACAACCTGGTGACTACAGTTAATAATACTGTATTGCATATTTGGAAGTTGCTAAGAGTAGATCTTAAAATGTTCTCATCACAATAAACAAATTTTGTAACTATGCATGGTGACAGATGTTATTTTTATTTTTTTAAAAGATTTTATTTTTTTGACAGAGAGACACAGCGAGAGAGGGAACACAAACAGGGGGAGCGGGAGAGGGAGAAGCAGGCTTCCCGCCGAGCAGGGAGCCCGATGTGGGGCTCCATCCCAGGACCCTGGGACCATGACGTGAGCCAAAGGCAAACGCTTAACGACTGAGCCACCCAGGTGCCCCTGGTGACAGATGTTAATGCGACTTATTGTGGTTGATCATTTCACAGTATCTACAAGTGTCCCATCATTGTGTCGTATACCTGAAACTACTGTGGTGCTATATGTCATTTATACCTCATTAAAGAGAAAGAAGTGGAGTCAGGCCTATTCTTTATAACCTACAAAATCCACAGAACAACCTACCTGGCAGTTTAGCAAGTAGTCACTCACTCATTCATTCAACAAACATTTACTGAGCTCCTCCAACCAGCTGAGCACTGAGTTAGGTGTTGAGGGGACACTGGTGAATAAGCTCATGGAGCGCATGATGTGAGTCTAACCCACTTCAGGTAAAGCTGCCTTCAGAAGCTCTTCCCCACCACAGATAGCACTCAGTGAGAATCGTGGCCCAGAACAGACATTGCACACTGTGTTCTCAACTGGGGTGAGGCTAAGAGGTTGTGGGAAATAAGTGAACTAAGTTAGTGGAATTACGTCTGGTAAAATTTTCTTCTCCCACAAATTTTTCTTTACCATTCCATACTTGCTGATTGAGGGATGTGCATTATAAATGTATGTATATTATAAATACATGCAGTAAAATTGGACACAAGTATTTTCTGGCATTCTGCAGAAAACATCTTGAACTTTCCAGGGTTCTGTGCCCTGAGTCAGCCCAAGACTCATAGACTGGCTGAATGTTGGACCCTGGGTGGGTCTGAATGACCCCGACTTTAGAGACCATGACTGGAGTCCCTGACAGCTGTTGGTGGGGGTGTTGCTTCTAGAAAAGTCTGTCCCCTCCAACATCTCTGGGTACCCTTCCAACATTGAGCTGAAGTAGAACAGATTGAAGCAGTAGGAAACTTTCCATGGATCACAGGCTACATGAAGTCACCCTGGCCCCATTCCTCCTCTTGTTGCCCAAATTCAGTCCAATCTCCTAAATGTGCCTCAGGCACTTCCCCCCACCTCTGCTGTCATCACCTGCCCCTGGAGCATCATCATGTCTCGCCTGGACAACTGCCTTTCCCCTCTTGGGTCTCCCTCCACTCACTCTGCCCTGCTCTAATCTCCTCTAAAGGAAGTGATCTTTTACTGGAGCCAATCTGATTATATCCCTGCCTTTCTTAAAATCCTCCAGTGGCTTCCCCCTGCCTCACTTCAGGATAAAGACTAGAGTTTGGCTCCTGACTATTCTCTTCACTTTTTCTAATTAACCACCACCCCGTCAGGTACACTGACCTCTGCTTGCTTCCTGGGAAGCCCAGGCTTTTCATGCCTCAGGATCTTTGCACATGCTTCTTCCTCCACCAGAGAAGCTCTCCCCTCCTCCTCTTGTGCTAAAATTCAAGGCTCATTTCAGATATCCTTTCCTTGAAGAAACTGTCTCTGCTCCAAATGTTAGGTAAACCCTCTACATTCATAACATCTGGACTCTCCTTATAAGCATGTTATCACAACTATGTTGAAGATAATTAAATATATCTTCCCATACTTTATGTCTCCTTCCCCCACTAGAATATACACTGCACCAAGGTAGGGACCCTGTCTCTTTTGCATCACCTTACATTCCTAGCATTTAGCTCAGGATCTGACAAATAATAGGCATTAATAAATATTTGTTAACTGAATGGCTAAGGCTAGCAATTCCCTATTTTGGTCAGGACCCTGGGTGTTCATGCTTCTGTGTCCATAGCAATAGCTCCCAACTATGCGGCTATCACCACCCTAACAAACTAGTGAAAATGTTTTTCTGGCCCCTGCTGTGTCCATTTCCACTGTCTGTGTGTGTGTGTATGTGTGTTACCCACACAGAATTTCATGGCTTTGCTTCTGAGAAATGGGGCATTACGCTCACCCAGTTAAAACAGCACAGTGGTTTCAAGCTATCCAGTCTCCACTAAAAGTTTCCTTTTCCAAATGGCAGCCTTGAGTTCAAAGGCTCTAGTGTTGTGCAGAAAACATTTGTCGGTTGAGTAAATGCGCAGCTAAGTCTCTGGGTTCCCCAGAATACAAATTCTCCTGAAACTGACAGGATTAGAGGACCCCACCTTTCTGCTGACATTTCTCCCCCCAACACGGTCACCCAGCAAATACATGTCCAGCAAAGAGGCAATTGGCTATTTGTTCTGTTTGCCCCCCGCCCCCCTGCTGAGAGTAGGGAGCTATTACCACCCCAGGAAGGGCAAAGGGAGAGGGGGAGAGCGAATCTCCAGCAGACTCTGTGCTGAGCGCTGAGCCTGACATGGCGCTCGATGCGGGACTCAATCTCACAACCCTCAGATCATGACCTGAGCTGAAAACAAAAAACAAGAGCCGGATGCTCAACCGACAGAGCCACACAGGTGCCCCAGCGGACTTTTTCTTAAAGGGCCAGGCAGTCAACATTTTGGGCTCTGCAGACCACATGGTCTCCGTTGTAGCTACCCCACTCTGCTGTTGTAGACTAAAGCAGTCGCAGACGGCATGTGAGAAGATGAGCGTGGCCATGCTCCAATGACTTTATTTATGAAAACAGGACACAGACTGGTTTGGCCTGTAGGCCTTTAGTTGGCTGACCTCTGATCTTGATGCACCTTAAATCTTGCTCTTATGCCCCATCAGGAGCATCCCTGGGTGAGCCGGATGCCGAGGCGTCTCTGACGATCTCCAGCAAGTGCATGGAGTCGCTTACCTTAGCTGTCCGGAAATGTCAACACTGATGTGGCCAATGGAGTTGTGGCAGTGGGACACGGAGGCAGTGGGCCGTCCAGACTGGTCCTTGCCCAAGTTCAGAGAGACTGAGATGGAAATGCCATCCACATTCACATCGAAAGTACCATCTAGGGTGCTGGTTGGGAGTTACGGGAAGCAAATGGTGTATAATCAGTCACCTCCAGGAAGAGAAGCCAAAAGACCAGTCCCCAGTTCCCTACTAACTAGCTGTGTATCCTAACTTAACCTCTACTTTGCAGCCAACATTTATTAAGCATCTGCTGTGTGCCGGAAAAGCAAACTGCTAAATGCCTCACATCTGTTATTTTACTTAATCCACAGCTGCATCAATGAGGTGGGTTGTTATTAATCCTATTTTACAGATAAATAAATGGAGGCGTGGAGATGGTCAGATTTGGTTCCTTTGTAGATTGATTGAGAGACATCCTAACCCAAGTACTACTCACATGAAAGCCTTTTTCACCTTCCAGTTCCCACTGACAAACACGTAGTTATTGGACAGGGAGGCTCTGACCCCCTGCCTTGGGCGTAGCCTCAAATCCGAGTTCCTGAGCTCAAAGCAATGGATCTTCAGTCTGGGGAAGGAAGGCAGAATATCAAACCCAGAAAAGCCAGGCACGTGTTAGTCCTCTGAGCGAACTCTCTGGCTCTAGAGTTGTTAGTGACTTTCTGTTGTTGCTAATTTCTGGGCTGCTTCAGTGTTCGCTATTTGGCTTTTTGGTTGTTCTAACACCTTTCAGGAAGATTCCCTGTATTAGATTCCCCCATTGAAATTCCTTGTGTGGATTCCGCTTTTTTGGCTGGTCCGTGATGGGTATAGTCACCCTGCCTGGTACACTCATCTACATCAGCCCCTCCTTGTGGCCATTTGAGTTCGTGGCTCTTGTTGCATCATCCCTCATTAGTTCACTCAACAAACATCCATTGAGATCCTGCCCTTGAAGAGATCACAGCTGGTGGTAGACCTGGACGTGTTAACAAACCACCATGGCCTAATGTGAAAACCAGAAGCAAGGGATGCTCTAGGGCTGTGGGAAGGGCCCTTGACCTCTAAGTGGCATGGCCTGGGTATTGTGTGTGTGTGTGTGTGTGTGTGTGCAAATTTAAAGTAGCTCTTTTTTGCTCACTGCCTTCAGGAAATTATCCTGAGAGACTTTGGGAGGATTCCAAGAGGGAGTCTTTTCTATCAGGGATGAATAAATGATCCCCAAAAACCTATTATGGACCCTTAGGGGCCTGAGGAAGAAAAATCCATGCAATCAAGGAATGGCTAAAGAAAGAGTAAGGTGTGAAGACTCTAAGATTGACTGTGTAAAAGCTACAGGGAGATTAAGGTCAGTTAAGCCTTATGGGGAGGGAGATGAGGAGCTGGGACTGGTTCACCAGGACCAGGAGGCCAGCTGCTTTATTCCTCACTAGGGTTATGTGTGGATGCTATCCTCAAGAAGCAGTATGCAAATAAAGTATGTACAGGTTCCAGAAAAACTTAAAAGTCCTTCATTACAGACCCTTAAAAGGCTTTGGAGGGATGGATAGTGTATCTCAAGCAGGTCCCTCATATGGGCAATCAGGAGAGTAGCCAGGGGTCTCTGGCAGAGCAAAAATCTACGGCTAGTTTCTGCAGGACTGACCTCAGGGCCTGTGAATGGTTTCTAAGGCTCTCCCTCCCATCCTGATGATTCAAGAAACATATAGCACCTTCCAGAAGCCCCACAAGAGCTGGTCATGATCCTTTTGCCTTTAATCCAAGTGATGATTCCATGTTTATCCCCCTCCCCCAGGAACCCAGGCCCCCATTCTGCCTCCTCCACTGCCCCTACGGTGGAGAATAGAGATCGTACCTGTAAAAGTCATAGCTCACACTTTTAATCCAGCCGACTTTGAAGCTTCCTGAGAAATCAGACAACTTGATTGTGGACAGCTCCTTCTTCAGGATGGCTACTCCGAATCGGCGGGCTGAGGGGAAATAGTGGGAGGCAGCTCATGCCGTGGGAGGCAGCCAAGCCCAACAGTCGAGTGGCCGGGCTTTGAAATCACATGGACTGGGATTGAATGTAGGACTTGCCATTTCCTCTTGGTGTGCTCCCAAGCAAGACTCTTAAACTCCTTGAGACTCACTTCCCCCCAACTGTACAATGGTCATAGTGATGATACCAACCGGAGTGTGAGAATTAAATTAGATCATGAACTCAAAGTGCCAGGTAAATGGCAGGCGTTATTTATCTATTCGACAAGATCATGGAAGCAATGATACAATACGGTGAGGCTCTTGAGGACGCATTCCCTGCAGCGTGGTCAAACCTTCGGGTTTTTCACTGTTGCCAGGGCCATATGTTCACAATGCAGATTCCCAAGCCTAGCTTCAGTTGACAGGAGACGGATATTTGGAATCTGTATTTTAACTTATGTCCCGGCAATTCCAGGGTGGTCCACGGACCCCCTGGGGAAAACGCTGGTCTGGTCCCGTCCTTCACCTCTGATACTCAAGACGAGGAAACTGCAGCCCAGAGGGGGACATATCCAAGGCTTCTGAGCCAGGCAGGGGCAGAATCCCAGCCTGTGGTCCCATGTCCTGGTTACCACACCACTCTGGTGGGCAACGGTGGACACCAGAGGAATGGCTGACACCCGCCTCCCCTTACCATATTCCAGGCCTTTTCTGGTGATTCTGGCCACGAACCCAGGATTGGATGCCCCTTCTTTGAACCCAGAGACCTCTGCCAGCAGCAATAGGGCGACTACCACACAGTATGGTCTGGCCATCATCCTATCCTCAGCAACGTCCTGGGCAGAGGTTGCTTTCTGTAGGAGCCTCCCTTGCTGAAGGTGGCAGCAGGGCCGGGGAGCTTATAAAGCCAGTGGCCAGATGAGGAACTGAGCCCGTTGGGAGAGAGGGCGGGGAGGTGCTAGGCTTTGAGGAAGCCCAATTTTCAGCAACTTGAGATGGGGAGAAGGTTGCTTGTGAAATTGTTGGAGGTTTTATTTTTGGCCTGAGGGTAGCGGAAGTGGGGCTGCCACGTCCAAGCTCTTCCTCTTCCAAGCTCTGCTGCCCGGTGCTGCCCTGGGAGCCTCCCCGCAACACCTTTTTCTAGCGGAACACCTCCATTCACTCCCCACTATCTACAGACTGAAATGTAAACATCCAGCGTGGCAGCCGTGGTGGCCACAACCTGGCTCTGACGCACCTCTCCAGCTGGACCTGCCACCAGCCCAGGTCCGGCTGAGCTCGCACTCTGGCTCCCCTGGAACCCGCCGGTCCCCACTTACACCGTGCAAGACCATCAAGGCCATGTGCAAGTCAGCCCACACGGCCTGACAAATGGATTCTGCAACTCTCGGCTCTGGACGGCTCTGCATTTTTTTCTCTTGCCTATGTTGTTTTAAATCAACTTTATTAAGGTATAATGTGTATGCAATAAAATGCAGACATTTTAAAGTGTACAGTTCAAGGAGTTTTGACACATGTATATATCCGTGTAGCCACATTGTCATCAGGACAAAAACATTTGCATCACCCCAAGAATCTCCCTCGTGCCTCTTCCCAGCCGATGTTTGATCCCACCTCCTACCCTGAAAACCACTGACCTGCTTTCTGGGACCATCCATTCATTTTGCCTGTTCTAGAACTTCGTGCGAATGGAACCATACAGTGCCCGTCCTGACCGTGCTGGCTGCCTTCTTTCATGCAGCATTATGTTTTTGAGATGAATCCATGGTATTTTATGTGTCAATAATTCACTCCTGTCTATTGTAGAGCAGTGTTCCACACAGCTGTTGGATTGATCCTTTTATTGTATCGTATCATATCTTTAATTTTCTTCAGATAGGAAATACATTCACGATGCTCAACAGTCAATCCATATAATGAGACGTACAGCGAGCATTCTGGCTCTCAACCCTCTTTTGCATCCTGCCAGCTTCAATCTCCTCCGACTCAAATCAACATGAAATTCCACTGGGGTAAGACATCCAAGGTGCTTTGACAGCTTACATCCTAGGGCCCATGGGAGCCCGGAGAGGGAACAATCAAGACAGGAGAGGCGCTTGGTCTGGGTTTCGAAGTACTTGCAGGAGTTTGGCAAACAGTCACAGAGAGGAAAGGTATCCTGGACAGAGGGAACAGCATGAGGCAGGGCACGGAAGCCTGAGGCAGCCTTGCACATTCCAGAAGGCTCGGGGAACTGTAGGGTGAGGGGCAGGAATGGACTAGAGCGTGGTCCAAGAGTAGGCACAAACATGGGCGGAATCTCCTCTTGAAGGGCCTGGATAGCCAGTCCTGGATAGCACCCCTGAACATGAACATGGAAGAATTTTCATTTTCCCATCATTGATAATCTCTATGTTGTGTTAAATCCTCCTTTTCCCCTGGATGGGGCTCCTTTCATGACATCTCAGTCATGATTCAAACATTTCCATCATGTTCAGTTTAATTTAAGACTTGGTCCTGTCCGTGTCAACCTGAATCTCATATTCTACCATATAGTGTTTTCTCTCTGCCCCATGCAGGCGTCTGGAGGCTCTCACAGCTTGGAGCAGGCAAGCACGTATGTGCCCGTGCATGCACATACATGTCCACATGTATGTTGGTACGTGAGCATGTGTGCATGTGAGTGTATCCGTGCGTGTGTGTGCGTGTGCTTGCATGGGTATGCTTGTGTGCACGTGTGTATGTAGGACTGGTTTTCTCGTCACCCACCCCTCCCTCTTCCCTGCTCTGACCTGTAAGGGAGAAGGGAGGGGCTACCGTTGGGCATTGGAAGTCCTCTTGGTGTATCTCAGGGGTGGTGAGGAGGCCCATGCTGAGGCTCATCAGCACTGACCAAGTTTGATACCCGTCAGCTCAGGGTGGGTAAACTGAGGCCCCCAGGGCCCTGTTAGGGAGGGGCTCAATTCCAAGCAGCTGTTCCAGGCAAGAATCAAGCCTTGGGAGAATTGTCCTCTTCTTGTGCCTCCCAATATGTCCTTGACCCTAGGCCTGTGGCCAGAGTTGAGTCTAGTTTCACTTCCCTTTGGAAGATGAGACATCATAGGGATGGTCCTTGCCTCTTCTTTGCTTGTTGCAGAGCCTACATTTCTAGGAGTGGTTCTCCTGGGGGCCCCTTTGTCTCAGTTTTGTTCAGCGGAAGAGTCAAGAATCTTTTCCTCTCTCCCATCAGATGGTCCAGAGAAGGGATGGTAGAAGGTCTTTGTTGACAACCTCCCGGAAATAGTTTAATCAGGAGTCTGGCCAGCTCAGGTTTGGGTTCTGCCCAGAGCTCCACCAGCAGCCGGAGAATGGAGAAGACCTACATTAAGGACGCCCATGGGGTTGTACTCCAGGATGGTTTGGGGGACAGAACATACTGCCCATGTCAGTTTGCCGGGCTGCACGAGCTGGCAGGATTAATAACAAAGATTTATTTTCTCACAGTTCCAGGGGCTTGATGTCTGAGATCGAGGTAGCAGGGGCACTGGGTCCTTCTCAGGGTTGTGAGGGAGATCTGCTCCAGTCCTCTCCCCTCACTTTCAGGGCTCTCTGCCAATCTTTGGGATTCTGTGGCTGGTAAACCTGTCACTCTGAATTCTGCCTTCATTGTCCATGGCGTTCTCCCTGTGCACGTGGCTGTCTCCAAATTCCTCTCTTTCATAAGGACACCAGTCCTGTTGGATCAGAGGCCCACCTTAACTAATTACCTCTGCAATGACCCTGTTTCCAAACAACATCACATTCTGAGGTACTGGGGGCTAGGATTTCAACATATGAATTTGGGGGGGGCACAATCCAACTCACAACAGTGTCCCATCAACTGTAAGGAGTGAGGATAGCAGTTCAAGCCTTGGGGATGCTGAAATTTGCATCAAGGTCCTACGTGACTGTCCCTCCATAAGCTTGTATGCTCCAAATGGGCATAATGCTACCGACCTTGCAGGATTTTTGTGGGAATTAAATAAGATAACATTTGGGAAGGCACTGAGTGTCTGGTACCTGCTGAGCCTAGGCAGTGAAGTCATCTGCATTGGGGACCATCCCCTGAGTTGGCCTTCGGAGACATCTCATCTTGCCAGAGATGCAAAACCAGCAGCAGAGAAAACCTAATTGTGGCTTTCCCTTCTCCTTTGGGCAAAACTTGAGGTCATGGCTAGGAGGTTGGGAGTTCATGCGTCAGAACTCCAGGGTTAAAGACCCCCGCAAAAGCTCTCTGCTGAAGATGTGACTTTGAGACATTTTTAGGGGCACTACCCTCTTCATCAGAACCTCTCAGGCATCCTGCACACATCTGACTTAGGGTGCCCTCTGCTACCTCGTCCTGGGACTGGTCTCCTCGCTGCCTACCACTGAAATCCCTCTTCTTCCAAGGAGAGGGAGTTCACGCCACCCTGTGAAAGCCCAGGGGTGGCCTAGCCTTGGCATTTTTCTTCTCCCCCTCGGTGGGACCACTTGACCTCTCTGTTGGGTGCACCCCAGGCCTGCACAGACCTTGACCTGAAGCAAGGGTGTTGTGTCTGTCATTGGTCCTTTATTGGGGCTCAATCCCACCCCTCACCTTCTTCCAGGACTGGGCTGAAGTTCTAGCTTACTGATAATATTTTTTTAAAGATTTTATTTATTTATTTATTTATTTGAGAGAGAGAGTGTGTATGTGTGCACAGGGTGTGAGGAGGGGGAGGGACTAAGGAGAGGGAGAGGGAGAGAACCCTAAGCAGACCCGGTGCTGAGCTCAGAGCCCCACTGGGGCTCGATCTCACGACCCTGACCGAGTGGAATCACCCAGGCACCCCTGATTACAAAATATCTTTATAGGCAGTATCTATACATGATAAAAATGGTACAAATGGTACAATAGGGTGATATTCCTTCCACCACTGTCCCCAGGCCTCCAGCTTTCTGCCCCAGAGGCAGCGTCTTTCTCATCTTTACAGAAGTACTTTGTGACAACAGAAGCGCACATGATAACATGGGTTCCTACATCTTACTTTCTGCATGTCATAGACCTTGGAGGGAGGGCGGAGCAGCCGCAGACTATGAGCAGCACGTGGTCGCTCAGGCACCCCCACAGCTGTCCACCTCCTGTCCCATAGGACATCCCTGGGCTCAGCCAGGCGGGGGCTGGGGCCCTGGGGCCGATGAGGGGTGTCTCTCTACACCTCTGCGGGGGCCCACAGCAACCCGCATGCCCAGGCCCGCTAGTTTGAGCCTCCATCAGATCGTGGATGTCAAAAAGCCCAGCGTCTGTTTGATGACTATGTGGACAGTGGGAACTTCGGGCGACCCTGGCTCTCTGGATGAGACCACCTATGAAAGACTGGCAGAGAAGACACTGGGCTCCTTAGCAGAGTCTGTTGAAGACCTTGCAGACAAACCTTACACCTTCGATGACTATGATGTCCCATTTGGGAGTGGTGTTTTAACAGTTAAACTGGGTGGAGATCCAGGAACCTACGTGATCAACAAGCCGACCCCAAGCAAGCAAATCTGGTTATGTTCACCATCTGGGGCAGGGCAAGACTTAAGACTGGTCGGGGAAGAACTGGGTGTACCCCCACCACGGTGTGTCCCTCACCAGCTGCTGGCCACGAGGCTGACTAAAGCCTTAAAAACCAAGTTGGACTGATCTTCTCTGGCCTATTCTGGAAAAGGCACTTGATGCCCAGCCCAATTCCAAAGACATTAAACGCTATAAAGCCAAGACCCCGGCTTCCTTCTGCAGCTGAGTGTCTGGTTTTTTCCATTCTCGCTTTTGAGGACAGTTGCACGGTGTGTCATGGCTCTGTGAAAAGAATGCATTGCCTCCCACCCTCCCTCAAGTTTGGGTTTTTAATTTCCC